AAAGCAGTTCAAGTCCCAAGTGAGTTTGGAATGGTCTTTCTTTTGTTCTACAAAGGAAACCAAATTTCTTTTGTGCCTTTCGCTTTTCAGGAGTAGCAGGAAGCGAGAGAAGATTTTAAATGAAAAGAGAGCAGTGCAAGGCATGGTGCAAATTGGAGCTTGAATGAAATAAAAACTATCTGAAGACTTTTCCCAGACATAGTTCTTCTGCAGCCTGTTGGAAAAAAAGTACCTGAAGGTTCAGGCTTTCCTCTGAACCTTCACCCCAAATATGAATACAGTGCTTCTGAGATGGCATTTTCTTGCCTAAGAAGTGTATCTGAACATTTCTGTTTTTATCCAGAATTGCATTCTGCTACGCAGTCCTTGAAAGCCAGATTTCTAGGAGGTTTTGGTTTTCCATCTGTTGACATTAGCTAGAGGTTTCTCCAGATGCTCTTGTATTTTGAAGTCCTGCCTTGGCACATACTATGAGGACCTCCGAGATTGGCTTCTGCCCTGGCTAGAACAGACAATTTTGGAAGTTCATGGGAGTAGCTTGTACTTATCCGTACTACCCATCCGGGTGAGGATTTTGTAAATGGTGAGACTGGGTGCTGGTCATCTGCACAGGCAGTTGCTTTTGCCACTGTAGCATATCCATTGAATGAGACTACCAACTCCTCTGTGTTATAAATATCTTACTGACCTGGTAACACTGAAAAGAGCACATTTAGAAGAATAAGGAAATATACTCTCCTGGTATAAATTGCAGCAAGAAGATTTAGGTTAGACATCAGGGAAAAAAAAAACGTTTAATGGGAAGGATAGTTAAGCACTGGAATAGACTGCCCACAGAGACCGTGGGCTCTCTGTCAGTGTGAGGACAGGTTAGACAAACATCTGCCACAAATGGCTGTCACAAGCCTTAGCTTCCCTTGGAAGGAGAGAAAAGCCTCTGTTAAGGATTAGTTTCAGGGAGCTAATATGATACACCTTTCATTAAAGATGCGCATTAACATACTGCAGAACACTTTTATTCTGTCTGCATTATACCGCGGTTAAGGCAATTTGCCAGCCTGCTGGAAGGCTTTCGGAAGGCTCTCACTTATTTTCCCCTTGCATAGGCAATCTTGCCTTTTGTCTGCATGGGATAGCTTATATACTGAGACAAACCAATAGCATATATAGTTGACTTTTTTTTTACAGTAGCCCTCACTTTCTTTCTTTGCAAAGGTATTGGACTGCTACTTCCAACAACTTGTTATGCAAAGTGGGATCTTATATTTAAGGTAAAAGGTAGCTGCTCCCTGCCGTCAAAACCTCCAAATTCATCCCCAAACAGAAGTGACTTTCTTTTCTTGATAAGTTCAGATGTGGTACAGACAGAGCAAGGGGAAGTTAAGGTGTAATTCTGGCTCTTAGGAGCCCTGCCCTGGCATGCAGGAACATACCTAGGGATTGGAGAATACTATTAGAAAGGGGGTTTTAAAGATCCCTGGCACCCTTACTTTTGCTGTGATTCTATGTCCCTCCAGGGCTCCTGGTGGGAGTCTGAATGACTAGACTCTGATTGGAGAACGCCCAGTGGGTCTTGAAACTGCAGGGTGACAAATATGTAGGATGTCTGGGATGGTTTATTTTTCCTGTTTTTGCTGAGGCAAGCACTGAACAAAATCTAAGTAATAACAGTTCACAAGCTGTTAATACCAAATACCCTGCTACCTCACAAGTGCCTTGCTCTGCTCTGCACAGCTTGGCAGGTTATATTCTTTAAGAGTAGGGATCATTACCTAGACAAATCTGTGACATTTAATTCTGTTGTGGCTAACCTCTGTCCCCACAGTGAATTGCTCCTTCCCTTTCATGGCAGATTATCTAGCATACAATGCACATTTGTATTTTCTCTCTCTTGCAATGTCTCCATCCTCTGCACATGTGGTGTTTCTTATTATCCTCACTGTCCTTGCCCACAGGTTGCTTAAGCCCACTCTAACTACATGCACTTGCCCTTGCATGCATGAGCATGTAAAGAAGTCTGCCCCCTCTTAATTTACAAAGCTTTTCTGACTTTGCTTATTCATATCTGTACATATCTGCAAGTATATGACACGCCTGATCATTCAGGTTAGCAATGAAACATAGTATTTGCACGTATTCTTGAGACACTCCATAGTTAATTTGAAAATTTATGTCAGAACATTCCCTTACATCCTGTTTTTCCTCCTTTTTGGACAATTTATAACAATTTTATTGGGATAATAAGGAAAGGATGTGTACTATTGTATTTGCAGGTTAGGTTCTTCAGTGCACAGGAGGCTGTGGCAAGACTGTCATTGTTATCCTAATTTCATAAAGTTGTCCGTGTAGTACAATACTGTGAAACGTGCCTGGCAGACAGCCTTATGAACTCCCCTTTCTGTCCCAGAGAACTTCTGGGTAATTACAAGTTGGGTTTGCCTATCTGATCTAATTTATCACTTAGGGATTTGTATCATGCCTATTACTGTGATATCTAAGTGCTGCTGAGATACTGCAAGATGTCTCTTTCATCAACCACTTATTCCTGTGATAAGTTAATGTTACTGAGCTGAAGTCTGGGCTGTTCTGTGCAGCATCTTAATCACTGGTCCTTACTGAGCCCCGTATGTGCAGGGGCTTACTCTGTTTGTCTAGTGGCTTCACTGAACTGGTTTTGGGGATTTGAGCTCAGTTACTCGAGGGCTAAAGTTGCACTGCAGAAATCTCCGGCTCAGATGATGATGAATTGACCTGCTTGGTCAACGAGTGGGAAGTCCAGGGTTGAGCAGACCCTGGGTGAGCATGTGAGTATATGCTCTTTATTCCCTCAGAAATGGACTTTCCGCATCCAGGCTTAGATATTAGCATGAGTACAGACCATCTGCTGCCCTAGACAACATTACCTGTCTTTTGTGGACAAAACGGGCCACCGGCCAACCCTAGTTCCCGGGGCTAGCTACCAGGCTGCCAGCTTTCACCTACTGCTCAAAGTGTATTTAAAAATTAAAACAACTCCTCCCCGCCCACTCAAGTAACAACAACAATAAGAAAAAACAACAACAAAATAAAGAGAGAGACAGAAGAAAAACAGCTGTGTACCCCACTTGCTGGTCCAAGCAGTGTGACTCCATGGGTGGAGAGAACATTAGGGGCAAGCTCTCCTTGGCATTTTTTACCAGTTGCTGGTGGTAAGTTCTTTTTACCTTGGGAAGGTAAGACCAGCTTCCTAGCCACTTCACACCCTTCTTACAAAACCCACTGCCTTGCCCTCACGGGGGTGCTGTGTTCATGCTGCAGGGATGGATGGGGCGGCTGCTGTGTCTGGCTGATTTCTTCTGCTTTCTTTCTTCTCCCCCCTCTTCAAGCCCCCAGAGTGGATTTTTCTTTCATGGCCAGATGAAGCGTTTGTTTTTTTGTTTTGAAGGTGACAAGTGTTTTATGTGAATTCTAGCTGCTCTCAAATGCCAAACCCCAGCTGGGCTTTGAGTTTCACAGAATAACTGCTGGCACCTAATGAGCCTCTAATAAGTGCTTCTCCCTCCTGTCCTGTCATTTAAATACGTAAATGACTGAAATTTGGGGGTGGTGGGAGGGGTGTTGGATTGCAGTGGAATTAAGCTTTTCTGTTTATCCACCAAGCAGGTACACCACTAAGAGCAGTTGTGCGAGCTTCCCGCACACCCACACTGCCCTGGCCATCAAGTCAATGTGTCTCAACCCTGGCCTGGAGGGCTGTCCTTGAGGATTATGCAGGAACTTCTAAAGCCCATTTAGTTTCTTGCCCTCTCAGCTTCAGCTGCCAGCCAAGGTGTTAATTAGTGTCAACTGTGATGGGGGAATTGAGAATAAGGCAAGACTTTGATAGTTGAAAGCATAGTTGATGTTCAGGTTTTTTCTTTTCCTGGGATTTTTGCAAGTAATGGTCTACCATGGGCAGTGGGTGTGCTACACGTATTATCTCTTCAGGGACTGGAGTGGCTTCAAAACAACTCTTATTTGTGGCAGTAGGTATAAGGCAACTGAGTTTCCCCCCACCTTTTCTGACTGCTGAAGATATGATCTCTGTTTGCTTAAGAAATGGGAAATTAAAAGATCTAAAATTGCAATATATACATATGGAAAAATAGCAAGATTAAAAAATCATAGATGCTCTTTGATTTTATTTTTATTGTGTCAGAAACACAAAGTAATTCCTTCTTTCCAGCTAAGGTATGTAACAAAGTCATTGTGAAAGGACAAAAGCAGGTATTTCAGTAAGGCCTTAGCAAGGCATAGCAAGAACTACTGTTAGCAAGCATCTCTGTTCATGTTCTTCTCCTGTGAAGACACTCCTGAAAATGCAGAACATTTCCCTTTTCAGTTGCCTGTCTCTTGGATGAACTCAATCCTGACTAGGAATGGGCAACCTTTTTCCAGAAGGAGGAGTTATTTCTGGACAAAATCAAGTTTGGCTAAAATGAATCTCTTTGATGAATTTCACTGAAAACAAATGAAGACAAAATTTTCAAAACATAAAGAAGTTCTGTTTTGACTTTTTCAAGTGAACTATTTCAATTTCTCTGTTTCAAAATTACATTTGTTTCAGCATTTGTATATATTTCTCCTCTTTTTTCACAGGAGAAAACCCATTTTTATTGTGGCTAGTAGGCTGAAGTCAACATCTCAGGAGGCAACAAGCTCTGTTCCTGTTGTTTGGCTGAGAAAGTTGAAAGACATCATGGTTATGATGAGACACCATGGTTATGGTATTCCCCTGGTAATCCACTCACTCTCCCAGAGGGTGAGACCATCACAGAAATGAGACAACCCAGACACCTTTCTTGTCCTCCACTTCCCCCTGGTTTGAACCCACTTACTCAGAGCCTTCTCCCCAGAAATGTCCTCATCTTACATGAGCCGTGAGCTTGGGTACTCCAGAGTGGTCCTCCTGCCAAGGCCTGTGGGAGCTGTGGTTGATGGGGCAGCTATATGTCTATCTTCTGTGGTTTGTGTCTCCACAGGTGGGCAAATGGAAGGAAAAAAAGTTGCAGATGAAGTATTATGTGTGGCCCCGCTTTGAGCTGTATCCCGACTCTGAGGAACGTGAAGATGATCACCTGAGTATTGTGACCTTGGAAGAGGCACCGTTCGTCATTGTGGAGAATGTGGACCCTCTAAGTGGCACCTGCATGAGGAACACAGTCCCGTGCCAAAAACGCATAGTGACCGAGTATGCACCCCTAGGTTTTTCTCCTCCTATTGGGCTCTCCCTTCTCAGCAGAATATAGAGAGTCTGTTGGGCCAATATCATCACACCCTGATAATCCTTTTTAGAAAAGTCACCTGTTTGCCCAGCCTGGCCTGTGTCCATTCATGACTGGCCCCTTTGGGCAAATCATCGTAGTGTGTCCCTTCACCCTCCAGCACGGATAGCACGAGTGAAATTCTTCACACTATATTGTGGGAGGGGGATTGCATACTGACAACAGAAGAGAATTAAGGGAGTTTTCCCCAGTCTTTTAACCCATTGTTGTTGTGATGATTCAGGAACAAAACTGATGAGGAGCCAGATTACATGAAGAAATGTTGCAAGGGGTTTTGCATTGACATCCTCAAGAAAATCTCAAAGTCTGTCAAGTTCACCTATGACCTCTACTTGGTGACTAACGGCAAGCATGGGAAAAAGATCAATGGGACGTGGAATGGAATGATTGGAGAGGTCAGCAGCAAAAGGAGGGCATGGTGGACTTTATCCCCGGGCTGGGTGACATGGGTCAGGTCTGGTCTCCCATCATTGTTAGATCCCCTTCTGGGGCAGGGACGGAGGTGACTCTGTAGAAATGATTGGCCTGGATTCTTTCTGGGCATTGAGTGAATTAATCTGCTCTGACACTCTGACCATGACTACCTTTCCTGTTCGATGATTAATTATTTTTCTCTATAGTGTCATAAATTTGGCCTTCACAGTCAAAGAAAGAGGGTGATATCCATGCACCGCAGAGGCTGCAACCTAAATTATACTTAGATGGTATATAAGGTGCATAAAGAATGAAATAAGACTTTGCAGTGTTAGAGGGAGGAGAAAGCAAGGACAGAAAAATGAGATAAGACGTCTTCTCAGTGGATGATGTGTTTATCCTAAAACCTCTGCGGATTTATTTTTTATACACATACCAGCTTTGAGGGGAAGATTAATCTCTATAGATTTCCTGAAAGAAGAAGGTGTCCTGATGAAAGATTAGGAAGGAGAGATGATAGAAACAATATAGGGAATGGGATTACAGGAATAAAAGGACTGTGGAAAGGTAGGAACGTGAGAAGGGTCTTGGCTGCGGTGCTTGAGAGGTGCCTCGGGTCTGTGTATGATCTCTTCCTTTCCTTCCTTCAGGTTGTCACCAAACGGGCCTATATGGCTGTGGGATCCCTCACCATTAATGAGGAACGTTCAGAAGTGGTGGATTTCTCTGTGCCCTTCATTGAGACGGGAATCAGCGTCATGGTGTCACGTAGCAATGGAACTGTCTCACCTTCTGCCTTCTTAGGTATCATTTTAATCTAAAATTAAAGCTTCACCCAGTGTTCCTCAAAAAGTAGGTGAAGGTTGCTTGTGATTCTTAGCCTGAAAGTCCCTTTTTGGGAGTACCTGTGGTACAGGCATATAAAAATAAACTGTGATGTTTTAGCTCTAAATCCCAAGCAAGCAAAATTCAGGCAAATGCAAACAGGCACTGCTGAGGAGTCCCAAGACATTTCTCAGCAATTGTATGCCAAATCCCAGCAAAGAATGGCCTCACTCAGAGTTGTCACCTACTCTGCAGCATGTGGTTTCTCAGTGACTCAATTAATAGCATGTTCAAGGAGTGTAGGCCAGAAGAAAATTGATTCAAACCTTATAGCTGGTATGCCATAGTACTTAGTGATAACACTTAGTGAGAAACTGTTGCACTTTGAGAGACACGGTTTTTAAAGAAGGTATTAACTTGACCCTCCCTTGACAGAATAACTGGTAGAAGTTAGAGATCTAATAGAGCTTTTCAAGAAGAGTTGAGCCATCAGTTCTGTGCTGACACCGTGTTTCCCAATAAAGTGATTTCTAATGTCCTTTGATGGTGGAGGGTGATCAGAGAATGCAGAAATAATACTGCCTTTCCCCAAGACACCCATGCCTTCCTAGTATCTACTATTTGGCTTTATAAAATGCTTCATGATGCAGGAAACACAATATATGAATTATATAATTACTGTCTGCTCTCTGCCAGCATCCTGACAACATTTACAAACAGAAATAACTTTCTATGGGTAAAGAAATTTTTCCAAACCTCTTTAAGTAGGAGTTTCATGACTACTAACTCTTCAGGAGTTTTTGCCTTTAGCCAAGCCCACCAATATTGCTGTGGTATGTAAAAGCAATGATAAAGTTAACTCCAAAATGTTAAATTGCAATTCATCTGAGGTTGCAATATTAACTATAGTCTGGAGCAAAGTTCTAAGATTCTTTAATCTGGTTCAGTCCCATCTTTATCTGCTCAGGCTTGGAGAAGGAGAAAACCTGGCAGAGATCCAGTGCAGGATATGGATGCTAACATTTCTAGAATGAGCCAGCATTCCCATTGCTACAGGAATGGAGCAGCTGAAAAAACTACTATCATTATGTCTGAACCTCAGAAATGTGGAGATGCTTTTTGGCTCAATAGCATCTTGAAAGTTGGATGCTTGTCTGAAACTCTGCCAGTTCTGCTTGATTTTCCCCACTCTCTCCAGATGGTGCTGGAGGACTTCCTGGAAACAATCTTTTATCAATGCATTTTATTTTATCAATGCATGCCACGATGGCTGCATGTAGTTCCAGATGGAACCGTGTGTCACAAATGTAACAGTAAGAAGGAATGCAGTCATTACTGTGACAGAAACTACACTTCTCCCAGTTCAAGAAGTTTTTCAGACTCAAGTCAAAGGCTTTGTTGTAACTTCTGGTTTTTCCCAGCCCAGTTTGCCCCAAGCTCTCACTGGGGTGCTCTGTAGAGCAAAGGAGATGAGGGAGGGGTGAGGTGGTGTATCAGGTCTTTCACCATGGTTTTCTCTTCCTCTCCAGAGCCCTTCAGTGCTGACGTATGGGTGATGATGTTTGTGATGCTGCTTATCATCTCTGCGGTGGCCGTCTTTGTCTTTGAGTACTTCAGCCCTGTGGGCTATAATCGGTGCCTTGCTGATGGCAGAGGTAAGAGGGGTCCCACCTTGCCATGATCCTCTCTTGCTTTCAATCCCGGTTCCTTCATCACAGTGTTTCCTTTGCCTTGAACATGATATGGATCTAGCCCACCCTGAGCTCTGCATTCAGAAGAGGGCAGGGATGGAGGCAGAAAAAAGGCTCTGAAGAGAGCAGATGTGTAGAATGGATAATTTGCTTGGCTCGGGAGACGGAGCTGTGTCGCCTTTCATCTCTAAAGCACGCACCAGCTCCAACTTGTTTCTCATGAGGGAAACTGGGTCCTGGTAGCTGGTGCAGGCAGTGCCCACAGTGCTGCATGCTCTGAGGCAATCAGAGGGCTCAGTGCTGTCAATCTATCCCGTCAGTGCTATGTCTCCCTGGAGAGCAAGCCGTTCTGCTGGCCTCCCAGTGTAGTGTTATGTCCTCCAGATTCCTGTCACCTGGGCATGCCCATCCCCCACTTGGCTCTCTAGCTTGCTAAGGCCAACTGAGAAAGTGGAAAGCTCATTCTCCCGGGAGTGAGTGATGGATTATTTTGCAAAGGCAGCAGGAAAGATAGGAACAAGTTAGTGACCCATCTCTGTGGTTCTGGTCTTCAGAAGACAACCTGAAAAGAGGATGGACAGACAGCCTAAGAGACAACCTTTTTTGCCTTGTTGGCTGAAGGCAGTTAGAAAGTTGAGCCTTCTGTCATCTCCGTATCTTCACCCCATATTGAATCATCCCTTCAAACCTTTCTGGGTTTATTGGTCTGTTCAGAATAATGGGAGAGAGACAGCTATTGGAAAATGCACTCATTTGCTCCCCAGTTTAGTGCTTTGAGTGAATTTATGCCATCAAATTAGAGGGGAGTGGAAAAAAAAGTGTTAATAAGAATGCAGGCAGAACCACATATATGGGGAAGTGGAGAACTTCTCTCTTAACAGGGACCTGTGGAGGGCCTTTATGGCAGCTGATCATAACCACATGGATCTGTGGACACAAGTAAATACTGTTATATCTGTGACTCTCTCTGGAGAGATATTAATACAGCTGTGGAACTGGAAGCAGTTCTTAGTACAGGTGTGCAGTTGCACAGGTATTAAGTTAGCTGAACTGCAGCTGCAAGTATCAGTATTTCTGAGTAATTATGAACAGTGCTGCATGATCAGGCAGATATTATCCCTGACAGATGCAACATGAAGGTGGAGAAATCTGCTGCAGAGACTGCAATGCTTGTTTGGTAATGAACGCTCTGGTTAATGTTACCTTGGCTGTATTTGAACTAGTCTACGACAGCATACCCCTGCCTCCCACACCTTCATTTTCTCTTTATGGGCACTGAGATTTTCTTTCCAGGGTCAGGTTGGCATGCCCTCATCTAGCCCCTAAATGATGTTGGGTTGGTTTTGGGGCACTCAAAGTTGGAGACCTCAGAAGGATTCTGGGTCCCTGGTTTGGATTGGAGGCTCCCATTGCTGTCTTGGTTTGTGGCTGACAAAGTAACTGTGGAGGCACATGGGGTGATGCAGGCCTTGCACCTGTGTGTCTTGGAGCTTATTACGTACAGAGGGATATAAAGCTACCACTTCAGCATGTAAAAAGACAAGGACTGCCAAACTATGCTTCTTACAGCAACTTTGTCTCCCTGGCATCTAGAGACTCCAGTTTTGCCAGGTGAAGATTTTGCTTTGAACTTGGTGTGCTGTTCCCAGGGTGCAAAATGAGTCCCTTGTACCTTTCATTTGTATTTAGAGTAACACAGTTAGTGCTTTCAGATGATCTATGCTATTCCTGGCTCAGGGCTTTGGAGAGGAGTGTCAAAGTTTTCTTTCCTTTTGTTCCTCTGCTGGAGCCAACCTTAACCACAGGCAGCAGCAATAGGCACCAGTCAGCCTACCCAAGGAGAAGATAAAACATGGGATGCTAACCCAGAAGGTTACAGAACCAGGTTGGCACCATTGGAAAAGTGACAGACCCTTGAACTGTGCCAGAGGGCTCTTGTCCTAAGAGGGTCTTCTTGGTGTCTGAAGCAGGATCCTTGGAGTAATTCTATCTGCAGTCTCCCTGACAGCTCCTCTTTGTGCTCAAGCTGAGCAAGTTTTGGTCCCACTAAGGGACCCAGCAGATGCCAGGGATATGAGACTGCTGGGAGACAGGCAGGATTTCACAAGTTCTCAGGCTTAGTGTTTCATGAGCACACATGGCTTTTGGGGTATGAGGGAGCTTCCATGCTGAAAAGTGCATAAGGGGAAAATAGCAGCTTTTAAAACGCTGGATCTGCTCCTTGACTGTCTGGGGCAGAGCTGCTATTTTCCTGAGATAGACCAGAGTATATGTCACTTGTTACGTACTTTAGGCACAGAACATGGGGAGAGGGATCTGTGTTCTTCTCTGGTTTGTGTGTCTTCAGCAGATCTTGCAGAGGTATTTGTAGCGCCTTGTTTTTTCAGATGGTGCTCGTCCTTGCACCGATACAAGTACAGTGAAGACCATGTTTTTCCCAGGTGTATGCTGGGAGTTCAAGGACAACATCACTGTTGTATTGCTAGAAACGAGGATAGAATTTTTCTGAGCAAACTCTATTTATGGTGACAACACTTGAACCAAAATGGAATGTTTGGGCTTTTAGCTGCTCCAATCAGATACAAAAAAAGCCGTTGTATAAGGTTTCAGTGGAAATCTTTGAGACAGAATAAATATGGAAGCCTGAGGACATTTTAAAAAAATAATTTTTCAGGGTTGTACTTTGCTGAATTATTGTGCCATGAACATAGGGGACCGCAGCTGCGGTCATTGATCTCGCATGTGAGAATAGATACTGCTTTTAACTCTGAAGTCAACATGCATATGTGAATAGAAATGCAGACCACTTACTCTGAGATGCTCACTGTGGGATGATGTTTCTCCATCACTCCAGAGCCCGGAGGTCCCTCTTTCACCATTGGCAAAGCTATCTGGTTGCTGTGGGGGCTGGTGTTCAACAACTCTGTGCCAGTGCAGAATCCCAAGGGTACCACTAGCAAGATCATGGTGTCGGTGTGGGCCTTCTTTGCTGTCATCTTTCTGGCCAGCTACACTGCCAACCTGGCTGCCTTCATGATCCAAGAGGAATACGTGGACCAGGTGTCTGGCTTGAGCGACAAAAAGGTAATGGATCCAACCAAACCCCCAAAGCAGCCTTTTCCACAGAAGAGGCTGCTCTACCCTCTCTTCTTTGCTTTTACTGGGAAGGTGTTCAGGTTTTTTTCAGCATCACATCATAGCTTTAGTCCCTAGCTTAAATACCACAATTGCTCTTTGTTGGTATTCAGTTGCATTTTTACATGTTTTAAGCACTTCAAGAATGAATTAGAAACTGAACTGAACTGTGCTTGCTTGCAGATCCCAAACCACACCTTGATTTTCAGCAAGAAATGAATTAATGGAGCTTTGGAGATGATGTGTATAATGGATGTAACCTGTATTTTCAGAATGAAATAATTGCCGGTGGGGGAACGCTGGCCATTAGGCTAGCAAATATGATCTGTTAGTTTATTAGAGGGAAAGGTTCTGCCCGTGGGAGTAAATCAGAGTGGCTTTGATGATTTACTATTGTTTGCATTTGAAGTTATACTGTCATTTTTTCGAGGCCTTCGGAAGCTTAGCATAAGAAATAATTTCCTGTTCAGAGTGTGCTTTGCTGCCTTGTTTACATGTGCTGCATTTTGTCCTCACAGAGCATTTGATTTTGCTGGGCTCTGCACACTGAGGAGATCACTCATGCATGCAGGGTAACACTGTTTGGTGCATGAGGGTCTGAAGCTTTGCACACAGCTTTATTTTTGTTTTGTGGAAAGATTACTCACAAGGAATTGAGTGTTGTGAGGCTCGATTGCCCATGCTGAATTTGTTAACTCAGTCACTGGGGCTGCTTAAGGGATCCTGCCATTGTAGGGCAACCAAATAGCAATAGTCACACAAACTGCTATTCGGGATAGCAGAAAGAAGAGGACTGCAAGTGTCAGTTTGTACTGCTGGGCTGGTTATCATTACTGTCTCTTGTGTCCCCCATGATAGTCTAGAAATAAATTGTGGCCAGGCCCCCTGTGTATACAGTGTCCTGTGCAGCAGGCTGGAAATTCTGTGGCGAATTAATTTTTAAGAGCTTTTTTTTCCCTTTTGTTGTTTTTTCCTGGAATGAAATACGACACTGAATAATACAATCTGTGCAGAAGTGCTCCTGTTATTTGTTTTAATTTCAACCTCAATTTGTTTCATGCTGTCTCCACATTTGCAGTGTGCTGTATTGGGGAGGGGGGGAGGATGCTTTTCTGCCAGGTGGAGGTTGTTGCGGAGGCTCCTTAGAAGCTGTGGACTCCCTCAGACTGAAAGGCGCTGTTCAAAACCAGCCAGCCCTATCAGCGTTAACATTAGTTTGTCATCATTAGGTTTTCAACTGTCTGAGCTAAATGGGATAGTTCATACCTATGATCTATTGTTTCAGGCTGTGCCTAGGCTCATGGAGAGCTCCACGCTTTCATTCTCATGTTTTTCAAGATATTCTTCATACCTGCAGAGATATGTGCATGAAATATCAATTGAAAGCGGTGACTCCTGGAGCTTCATAGAGCCTTTGGATACAGGTCTCTGGGTGTATTTTAGTTGATTTCGCTGTAGGGCTGCCTGTGTGTATTGGCTTGATGTCATTTTCTTCTACTTTTCTTTGCCAAGATACCTGTGTTTGTTTTTGCTATCCTAAAGACTATGTGCTTTGTTTCTTGGGGAAGACAAAGGACACAGTACATATTCAGATTATTGCAGTATGCCTCAAACACAGCTGCTAGTGCAAGTGCAACATTTGGATAAAATTATGATCTACCAGAGCATCTGGAATCAGATGAAAATTGGCTGGTAAAAACTGAAGGCCAACTGCTGCCTCTGGAGAATAGAGACAGGTGAGAATATCACAATCCAAAAGATTTGAGTGAATGAGTTTGGTCTACTGGGCTCATGGATTTCCACTCTCTGGACGTGCAGAGGGCCCTGCAGAATTTGAGAGCAGCCATCCAGGCATCTGTCATGCTGCTTCAAGATGCCCTGGTTTGGGAAGAATTCAATCTTCTGAATCTCCTCTTTTCCCTCTTCCAAAGCCCACATACTGCTTGCAGTTCGCTCACGCCCTCAATGCACTGCGTGGCCAGGATGCAGGGTTGCAGCCACGTGCAGGGGAGATGGAAGTATCCTGTGCTTTTCCTCTCTTTTCCTGCCTCCTTACATAAAATTAGCCGGTTCAGACTTCCAAAGTAGGCAGTCACTGACCAATGCCAGGTGGCCAAGAAGAACAACGGTAGCTTCCAGTCTCTCTTATCTCCAGGAAGTGATCTGCTGTCCACAGCAGAAGGGAGGCAGATCAACCTCCTGGCCCGCTACATCAGCTGGCAAGGGCAGCTGGGTCCAGCACAAGGAGTCAGCAGAAGGTATAATCCTACAGACAGAGGACTGGTTATTTTAAGGGGTATTGTTCCTACTTGCCTAGACCCAGATCTGCTTGCAAATGCCTGTGTAGCATGACAGTACCTGGGGAAGGTGTGTACAGCAGCGAAAATGCCAGATGCACTCACAAAATCCATTACTGTGCCTGGCTGGAGGATGCTTGTCAAGGTCAGGCTGGCAACACCCTGTGACAGCCACCCTGAGGGTCTCTTTGGACCTTCTGCCTTCGGCCTTGCCTGGGAAGAGCCACTCCAAGAGGTGCCTGTGGCTGCTGACCGGCCGCTTCCCCACAAAAGCAGGCCGAACCGCTCCAGCTGTCTAAGGACTTGGACGGTGTCTTGGCTGTGCCCCAGCATTGGCTTCCTAATGGCATGTCCCCGCTGTGCTGTGTGGACGCTTTAGCAGGCCTGGCGGAGCTGGGCTGGAGCAGACACCTCTGTGCCAGGGCAGTATGTTGGGCTGAGGGTGGCTGGAGGCTCCCTGCGCCCAGCCCGGGGACCTCTGCCGCTCTCTCTCTGGCCCAGGCGACGCTCATCCTGCTGAGTGCCACCCCTTTGTGCTCAGCTGGCCCGAAACTGCTGCCAGAGCTGGCTCCGGAACCCACCTCATGTTCGCCCTTGCAGCTGCTAGGTCGTACCTCAAGCTGCGGCTCTTA